CATACCAAGAAAGCATCTGCCATATAGTTTTAGGTCTCACATTTTGGAATCCCTTCTTGGTTAATTTTTGTTTCTACATGGACTGCTTGGGACAGGGATACTAACTTGTCTTGCTGCACATGGATTTCCAGCTGCTCCAGCTTCATTTCTTGCAAAGACGATGTCTCTGTTGAGCTGTCCTGGCACACTTGCCCAGAACCCTGTTGGTGTGTTCTGGATTCCCAGTTCTACTCATTGATCTATGTATCTGCCTCTTGTACAAACTACTCATTGATCTATGTATCTGCCTCTTGTACAAACTGAGTATGGCCACTTTTTTTTTGGTCTGAATTTGAATGCTTCTGAGTAAACAGAACTGACTGAAGTATTGCTAGATGGTTAGTAATTATACCGTCTTTAGAACCATCAAGACGGCTCAGCAGGCAAGATCACTTGCTGCCAAGCCTGAGGACTTTTGAGTTTAACCCCAGGAGCCACATCATACATCATACAAGCTGTCCTCTGGCCTCATGTATGTCCTGTGATCATTCTCCCCGCTCCCACTCCCGCCCCGTGTGTGTGTGTGTGTGTGTGTGTGTGAGAGAGAGAGAGAGAGAGAGAGAGAGAGAGAGAGAGACAGAGAGACAGAGACAGAGACAGAGAGACAGAGGCAGAGGCAGAGAGAGACAGAGACAGAGAGACAGACACAGAGACAGAGAGACAGAGATACAGAGACAGAGAGACAGACACAGAGACAGAAACAGAGAATTTTTTAAGAAATAAAGCTCTGCTCTGGATTTATTAGTGTTACATACATTTAACATCTATCAATTAACAACTCTCAGCTTTCATTTAAATGTCACCCTGATTTATTTTCTATGTAAATAAATATTTCCTTTAATCTCCAATTTTCTAGTCTTTTGCCATTTTTTAAGAGTATAACCTTCAAAATGCCGTGGCTTCAGGTCCACGCAGCCTCTCCAGGACCCAACCCACCTCCAGGCTGAGAGACACTTGGGCACCCACTAGTGAACCAGGAGGGCCTCAGCTGCTGGAAGTGCACTTTAACAGTGTCCACCGTCCCCACCGCCCAGTACTCCCATCCCCGTGGGAAGCTGGCAAAGCCATTTCCCCACAAAAGCCAGGCTCAAGAGTGAAGGCAACACTTTCCTCCAGGGTCCGAGTGCAAGTGAGAGACGGGCGTGTGCAAACGTTAGCGCTGCAGTTTCTTCCTCCTGGGTGCTCACAGCCTGAGACAGCTCGCCCAGAGAGACCTTCTAAAAGGACCAGATAGCTTCCCCCCCCACACACACACACTCCTTGTGCTGTACCTGATAATAGGTTGAGGTTCTGGGTTGCAGGCAGCAGTAGGTCCCCTCCATCCAAGTGCATCCCCGTATGGACCCCAGATTTCCTGTACATATGTGTGCATGCATTTCTGTCCTTTCGTCATTTCCTGGCTGTCCCCAGTCAGGGTTCCTGCAAGTTGCTTCTATTATCCCAGCCCCGTCTCATTCTTGGAGCCAGCAGGAAAGGTGGCGGCGGCGGTGACGTCCTTGTCCTCCCAAAGCTGTGTCCCGTCTCCCGACCACACTGATGATCTATGGCTGTGGGTCGACAGGAATCTAGAGAAGAGACGTAGGATGGGTTAACCCGGGAGAAGAGGGAAACGGAGATGCACAGGACACTGATGCATTAAAACCCACAGAGCAGCGGCGGCCCTCTCACACAGACAAGGAAGCAGAGGCCCAGAGCGCACTGGTCCATGCAGCGAGTGAGGAGCAGAGACAGTGTTTACAACTAAACCTGCCTAAAGATTTTTAGACTCCCAAGGACAGCTTGTGGAGACTGTAGACCGGGAGTGTCCAATCTGTGGCTCATGGTCACAGCACAGCTGTGATTGAGACCCCACACAAAAGTTCCGAATTTACTTAAAATGTGGTGGGATTTGATTTAGGCTTTCTGGTAACTCAACTGCATGGTTCTGGAGTAGGAATGTCCCACAAAGTAAAATCGTATGCTCCTGGGACCTACAGACTTTAATTGGACATCCTCTGATTTAATGTGTAGCCCAAGATAATTCTTCATCCAGTGTGGTCCTGAGAAGCCAGGGGATTGAGGGACTTTCGTGCTAGATGTTGTTGAAGCCCATGGCTGGGAAGTAGCTTCTACGGACATCTAGTGGATAGAAAGAGCCTGTTAATTTCCCTACAATGCACAACATAGGTTCTCTGGTGCAGGGTGCAGTGTCTTCAGTGCAGAGGTTGAGAGGCCCTGATCTAAATACACACGTGCATGTGCGTGCGCACGCGCATATACACACACTCGAGCGTGCGCGTGCACACTCATACAAGTGCACACACGTGCGCACAAGTGCACACATAGCACACACGCACACACACGCATGCTCACACACAAGTGCACACATATGCACGCATGCACACACACGTGTGCTCACACACACAAGTGCACACACACACACACACACAAGTGCCCCAAGTGTTCTTCACTTCAGCCTTTTCCTGGGCTTCTCTGGAGCCTCTGCCTCAGCTGCAGGCAACCCAGCACAGCATCAGGGTCACCAACCAAGCTAGACAGGTGGCCAAGGTCACCAACTGCCCACAATGGCGCCTCTTGCTTTGCTCTCCCTTGAGCATTAGAGGGAGGAGGTCTGACTTGGAAAGAGGATGCCTGCCAGCTCCTTGGCCCAGTCCAGAAGGGCAGGCAGAACATACTCCGCACAGCCAGTTTAGGGTAGATTCCAGGCCCGGCCACAAGATGGCAGCCTAACCCACGAGGAACACGGAAGCTCCTGACCTGGGAGAGCTGCACAAACCCTGTGCCAACCTGGACAAAGGCCTGAGGGGCTGGACCGGGGCCAGTTCCGGAGCGCAGCAGGGCTACACCTAAGGCCTGCGAGGTCCAGGTGTGACAGCATAGGTACAATTTGGCTTCAGGTATCCCCCTCATATTCTTTCTCACTCCTCACCCAGAACAGTTCATCCTGAGTTCAGCAATTCCTACAGGGGTCTTCCTCTGCCCTGTGCAGCCCTAACAGGAACAGCAAAGCCCAGAGCACAGGAGCTAAGCATGCAGGAGAGTACTTCTCCCACGTAGTTGTAAGCCACTGAAGCACGCGGGGATTGGGTGGCTTGCTTAAGGTCACAGTTAGTCAAAGGTGGGCCACTACGCAGTCTGTTCTAGTTCCTGCTCAGAACCCTGGGACGGGACAGACCACCCCCAACCAGACATAGGTACCAAAGACATTTCTGTACAGGACTGTAAGCCTTCCCTTGTAAAGGGGCAGGCAGCTATGCTGTAGACAGTTGGGGATGGGAAAGGGCAGGATTGCAATATTTCTGGGAAGAAGCTGGGCTTGGTCAGCCGTTCCTCCCCTCCACAAAGCTGTATTTCTCTGTTCCTTGTTTTATTTTTTTCCCCCTGTGGTCTCATCTTGTTTTTTTCTGGACTTTCTGTGAATGTCAGCCTTCTCTTGGTGTGAAGAGGAGGCGAGAGGAGACTTCTGTGTCCTTCTTAGGATACAAAAGTAGGAGAACTGCTTGAAGTGGGAGGGGGTGTCAGCAAGGATCACAGCGAGAAGCTTACAGCGGGAACCTGTTTTCCTGTAACTTTCTCCAAGACTAAGAGTCATCACCACCCAACTTTCCCCTGCTGGGAGCGTTTTTTCTCTGTCCCACCAAGACCTAGTCCCTTTTCTGCCTGCTCCTCCCCACGCCCAGGACACACTGCGCGCCCACCAGTACTCACCGTGGAGTGGGGCCCGACGGAGCTCAGGACCTACCCCTCAGGGACCTTGGACTCAGCCTCAGTTAGGGAGTCTAGATATCCAGTATCTCTGAAGCTGGAGCATCAGGGTCCCTAGCCCTTTCCTAGCTTTTCCCAAATCACCTAGATCTCAGTGAGCGGCTTCGGTGTTTAGGGCGGTGTGGAGAAAAGCAACGGCTGGTGATCTCCAGAGGTGCTGACAGCGCTTGATAGGAGCCAGAGAGACATGTGGAGAGCCAAGCTCTGTCCTATGGGGCTTTGCAGACAGGGCTGGGGGGGGGCACACTGGCTCCTCAGGGGTCCTGAGGAGGGGACCCTGGATTTCTGTCTGGGAGGAAGGGAAAGTCTGGGGGGGGGGCTCCTCCTTGGTGTTCATCCTGACTGTTCACAGCTGGGTCTCTGTGTCTTTGTCTGTCTATCCCAGGGTTGGGAGCCTGTGTCCCGGGGATCTGAATTGGAGCCGGGCCGGAGTGCACCACACTGGACCTCCTTGTGATCAGGACATGGGGCTGACACTGACCAGAGTAAGAAGGACACTGCACAGTGAATAAGTGCCAACAAGTCAATAAGAGCCTCTCACTTCCTAATTAAACCCCCTTTGCCAGGGTAGGCTGCGTTTGACTGCGATGGACAGCGATCAGTGACTATATTTCACGGGTCAGCAGCCTCTGGAGCTGAGCCTGACCTTCCAGTCCCTCATAATCCCACCTGCCCGCTTCTCCTAAAAAGCTGGGAGTCCCCGGGGGTCAAGAGCTACGTCTGAGTTGTCTGTTGGGACTTTGTGACTGGTACAGATCTGGAGGAGTAAGGATGAAGACAATGATTGCTGATTAAATAAACCAGGCCAGGAGGACTTTGAGGTCAGAAATAGTCTCTGTCCCCAGCATCAACTTTGAATCTGAAGGAACAGCCCCCAGACACACTGGGCAGCTCGAGCTATTGGGGGCGGGGGCAGAGACTGTCAGTATTCAAGGAGCCAAGCGGTCTTTGCGCCTCTTTTCATAATAATTCAAGTTACTGGGCAAACTGAGATCTGTGTGTTGTCCTCGTGACTAGTCACCGTAGAGTTAGAAAGGGTGCAGGGCCCGAAAGGGTCCAAAGGATTAAGAGGCGCTCAAGATTTATCATCAATGGAGAGTCGGGACAGGGGGTTGGTAAGAACTATTTTGCAGGCCGTGTAAGAGGATATCTCTGGAAGGATCAGGGGGCCTTGAGGTTCCCTGGGGAGGGTCGGTATGAAGGGATTCCTTGAGAGGTCAGTGCTAGTCCTGGTCGAGGAACGGCTTGCCTACTCAGAGGATCTGATGGCTCCTGGGTTCCAAGTAGAGGAGCTGGCCGACGCCCTTCTCACCCCGGTGTGACCCGGGGGGGCGCGGGCCCAGACGTCGCTGGGAGCTTCCACCCAACCGGTGGAGCTCCCCGAGGGCGGAGCGTCGGCGGGTCCCCGCCGAGCAAGAGGCGAGGGAGGGCGGGCGCCCCCAGCGCCCGGGTGGAGGGAGGCCGGGTTCGGTGCGGGCCTAGGAGGGGGGCGCAGAACCAGGGCTTTTTAGGACCCAGCGCGGCGCCTCCCTCCGGGGGCGAGTGCGGCTGCGCGCGCCGTGTGCCCGTGTCCGGAGAGCCGCGGGCTGGATGCGGACCGCGCGAACGAGCGAGCGAGCAGGCAGCGGAGCAGCAGCCCGGAGGCGGCGGCGGCGGCGGCGGTGACGGCGGCGGCGGCGGCCGCTCCGCGCCTCGCCTCCCTGGCCTCGCCAGCCTCGCTGCGGCGCCGCGCCCGGACCTACCACCCCCGCCTCCCGGGCCCGACCTCGGCAGCGCCCCTCGCTCCGGCTGCCAGCGCCACCCGCCCTCCGGGATCCGGGAGCGGAGCGCGGGGCGCAGGGACCCCGGAGCCAGTGTCCGCCGGCGCCGCCAACAAACCGGGCCGGGAGAACCGCCTTCCCTCGGCCCAGAGCCGCTCGGCAGCCGCCCGGGAGCTGTCCCTTCAGCACCGCCGCCGGAGCCCGAGTCCCAGCGCAGCCCGGCAGAAGCCCTGGCCGAGCGAGCCCGAGCGCACCAGGCGCTGCGCTCAGCGACCGCCCCGCGGGGCAGCACCCAGGTGCCCCGGCCCAGGGGACCCGCCATCTCCTCCGGGAGGCGGGGAGAAGGAACGAGGAGGGCAGGCGGGCTGCTTCACCCGCCGCCGAGGGGAATAGGCAGCCAGGCGAGGAGAGCCGGAGGGGACCCGCCACACAGGGAGGACAGCAGCCTGCAGCTGTCCCCAGCACACCGGGAGCGCGCCGCGGCGACCACCGCAGAGGCGAGCGCGGGCTTCCCGTCCCCCCCCACCCCATCACTCCCCCTGTTGGGGCCGCTCTATTGGTCCGGGCCCCCCGGAACGGAGCAGCTGACCTTCCCCTAAAAAGCTTTGTGTCGGTTTCTCCATTTTCCCGCTGAGATGCTACTGGCAGCCCGGCCCCCCCACCCTTCCTCCCCTCCTCCCGGGGCTCGCCACTGAGCGCCGCCCCACTCCCTCCCTCCCTCCCCCTAACCCTCCTTCCTCTCCTCCTCTGCCTCCTCCGCAGCCAGGCCAGCTCCCTTTCACATTGGGTGCTTTGCAGACCCTTGGGAGCCCGCGCACACACCCCTGGACCCGTACCTGACTGACAGCTCCTCCTGAGGGAGCTTGGCTCGCTCGCTGGGGTGGGTGGCCAGAGCCTCGGTCCTCTGTGCCCCCCGACGGCCGGGGGAGGGGGGAAGAGGCCCTGCGCCCCCCTCCCCGTCGCCAACTCCCCCTGGCGGCAGCTCCCATGGGTGTCGCTGGGCCGCGCCATGCCTAAGGGGGCGCCGCGATGGGCCAAGGGGACGAGAGCGAGCGCATCGTGATCAACGTGGGCGGCACGCGCCACCAGACGTACCGCTCGACGCTGCGCACGCTGCCCGGCACGCGGCTTGCCTGGCTGGCGGAGCCGGACGCCCACAGCCACTTCGACTATGACCCGCGCGCCGACGAGTTCTTTTTCGATCGCCACCCGGGCGTCTTCGCTCACATCCTGAACTATTACCGCACGGGCAAGCTGCACTGCCCGGCCGACGTGTGCGGGCCGCTCTACGAGGAGGAGCTGGCCTTCTGGGGCATCGACGAGACGGACGTGGAGCCCTGCTGCTGGATGACCTACCGCCAGCACCGCGACGCCGAGGAGGCACTGGACAGCTTTGGCGGCGCGCCCCTGGACAACAGCGCCGACGACGCAGATGCCGACGGCCCGGGCGACTCGGGCGACGGCGAGGACGAGCTGGAGATGACCAAGAGACTGGCCCTCAGTGACTCCCCAGATGGCCGGCCTGGCGGCTTCTGGCGCCGCTGGCAGCCGCGCATCTGGGCGCTGTTCGAGGACCCCTACTCATCCCGCTATGCGCGGGTAAGTGACAGCTTATCCACCAGGACCTGACCCGGAAAGCCAGCCTTTGCCGCTTCCCGCGGGCAGGGGGCAATGGACAGTGAGTGCCCAGAGTTCTGAACTGAAGGGGGTGTGGACATGTGTAAGAGAGAAGGGATGGTTTTACAATGGTGACTGGGTTTGTATACATGAGACATGAGTCTGTACTGCTAGTTGTATGAGAGCATATGAATGGCGTGTGAGTGTGTGTGTGTGTGTGTGTGTGTGTGTGTGTGTGTGTGAGTAGACTGCATGCATTCTGATGTAAGTATACTGGTGTGTCTTTGGATGGGTGAAAGTGTGTGGGAACAAGTGAGCATATGTGTATTTTGAATGTACATGACACCCCACTCTCCTGTTAGGGCCCATCCGTGCTTTTAGAAGGTGTACGCTGTGAAGGTGGGATTGCCCTTTGGTTTGGGGGAGGCGGCGACTCCTTCCTCTTCCTAGGGCAGGGAGCTTCTGGAGTAGAAAGGGTGTTTTTAGCCTGCTGGGAAGCTAGAGAGAGCCCCTCTTTCCCCAGGGACCTTCCTTAAGCCATCTAAGGAGATGTCTTGGAAATGCTCTAATTAATAGCTTATGATTGGTGTGGATCTGGGCTGGGGGTGGGGCACAGAGAATGGTGACCTCTGTCACACCTGCCCTTCTGGGTCTGGGGAGAGCCTGGAGGAAGAACTTAAGAAATCCTTAAACTTCTGCTTCCTCTGGCCCCTGGGAAATATACCAGGAGGAAGCCTGTGAAGTGGGTGTGCCTTCCTCAGCCACGCCCCTTTAGGAATAGCTGATTGTTACTAGAAAGGACACCCTGCTGCTGACCTTGGCCCTTCAGATGGCCTCCATGAAATGGAGAGCATGGTGGGCTGCAGGGACCATTTGATGGACTGTGTCCCCAAAGAGACCCCAGGGAGACACCGAACCCTGGAAGGCAGACTCAGGGGCTTTGAACTCTGTTCTCTGACCTGAAGAGTGCCAAGGATGGGGGGGGGGTAGGGCTGGGGATTTACACCGCCCCTCCCAGGCAAAGGACTGCTTCTGTCTGACTGCCCTTCACTGCTCCAGATCACTGACCAGGAGCTGGGCCAGAGCTCGGGGGTTAAGGGGGCTTGAGGAGGAGCTGGAATCCATGGAAGATCAGTAGATAAAGCTGGGGGGGGAGGGGTCTCAGGTGCCCAAGGACAAGGAAGGGCTGTATGGCCAGACACCTGACAGATCTGATGCTGAGATAAAGCAGGAAGGCCTGAGGGGTGGGGACAGCGTTCAAAACTCATACCTTGAATCTTAGAACAGGTGCCACTGTGGGTAGGGGTGGAGAGAACTCTAGGGCCTCCCACGTTGCCGCTGAGGATTTTGGCCAAGGTCAACCCGGAAGTAGGAAGCCAAGTAAAATTTAAATCAAAGTCTCCTGGACCTATTCTCCCCTGAGGTGGCCCCTGGCCCTCTGCCTTGGCCTGGGGCGGCCCGGGGCCCTGCAGGGGAGGCCTCTCTTCTTCTCCCCTCTTCCTGATGACAGAGGCCACTACAGCTAGAGGATTATGTAACTGGAGGCTATGCTGAGCTGTGGGGAGGGGCTGGAACGTGGGACTGAGAGAATGAACCAGCATAGGCTGGGAGAGAGGAGCCTGACAGGGCAGGCCAAGGCCTGGATTAGAGCAACCGTTCCGCTTACATTTGACCTTGGCCCCCGGGAGTTAGGCCAGTAGGCCCAACTTCTTTAGGGTAGTTGCAGAGGGCTGGACCCCTCCGCCTGCCTCCTTGGACTCTGCTGTGATCAGGGTACACATGTGTCAGGGCAGGCGAGGGTCAGTAGGGGTTACTTCTCACTTTCTCTTTGCACCCACTGGTCATTCCTGGGCTGTGGGGTGGCCCTCACTCAGTGGAGACAAGTACACACCTAAGTGCAGCTCGAAGTCCTGTCAGTCTAAGGGCACAAGGCTCACACGAGTGGCCGCTGAAGAGCAAATGAAGGGAGAGCTGGGCAGCCAGAGGCAGCAGGTGGGGCTTGGGGTGCAGGTGGGTGTCAGTGGGCGCCCCTTCTCAAAAGCAGTGCTACTGTCTTCCTCTAGTAGCCTCACGAAAAGGTTGTAGTCCCTTCTTGTTTGTGTGGGTACCACAAGACGACACTGAGACCCACAGAGAGAGCTAAAGGAAGAGATGGGATCAGAACCAGGCCCCTGCCGCCTGCCCGCCCGCCCGCCGGTCCGGCCAGCCTAACTGCATTGCGCTGCCTCTCTGCAGCCCTGCGCAGAGACCAGCCTGCTGCCTCCTCCCCCCCCCCCCCTGTCTTTGCTCTGACGCTGCCCTCACCTTTGTTTAGAGCCTCCCCCTCACAGCCTGGAAAAGCCTTCTCAGATTGGTGGGTCTGGGTTTAGCATTCAACGTTTCCCCCTTGATTCTAGACCTGAATCTTACATGTGATATTGTCTGTGTGTGTGTGTGAAATATAAACTAGAAATGTGCATGAGCGTCTGTGTGGGTGTGTGAGACTCCTCGTGTGTAAGAATAAAAACGTTAGGTGAGTGTGACTCTGGGGGCACTCACGTGTTTGTGTGTTCGTGTGTGTGTGTGTGTGTGTGTGTGTGTGTGTGTGTGTGTGTGTGGAGACTGTGAGTATAAGAGAGATCCTTATGTCAAAGAAATTGGATGTGAGATTGTATGTGTGTTGATAGATGGTGGTGCTGTGTGTGTGTGTGTGTGTGTGTGCACGTGTGTGTGTGATGGGGGGGGGCCTGTGAAAGAATGTGTGTAATAAGAAAAAAGAACATGCATGTGTATGAGACATGCTGCCCGTGAGACTCCAGGTCAGTGTATCTCTTAGTGATGTGTGGCCAGGTGTGCAAGTGTACATGTGTATGTGTAAGCCTGTGTGTGCAATGCTATTTGGGAATATTCCGTGTGACAAATAGCGTGTGGTTATGTGTTCAGAAATTGTGAGGGCCCATGTGTGACGAAGTGTGTCTGTATAAGAGGGTCTTAGATGTGCATCATTGCTGCTATTAGTGCTAGTATGTGAAAGAGATATTGTGTGGCCCGGTGTCCCTGGAGGAAGGCGACGTTCTGTAGGCCCCCTGCCTGCTGTTTCCATCTCCCGGGACTCCTGGGCTGTCTGACTGAAGAATGTCCTTGCATGCCATGCCATGCCTCAGAAGATATGTGTCCCCGACAGGCCAGTTGTGGATGTGTGGGTCAGCAGTGAGGTGAGACCGCTTTCCCCCAAGGAGCTATCAGGATATTGGCTGTGGAAGATAAGGACCCTTTGGTTGGCAGAGGATGTCCCATTGGAGCTCTCAGGGGCGGCAGTGCTGGCCAGAACAGCTAGGCCCCTGTCATCCCAGAGCAGGGTTGGGGAGTGAGGTGAGCTGGGGCTGAGCCCCACTTGTAGTCTGGGATGGGGGTTGTTGCATCCGAAGACACACAACGGTGTGAGTGGTGATGTAGCATGTGCATAAGGGGACGAGGGCGTCTGGGACAAGCTGCCTCCTGAAGTTACACTGGCCCGCCATGGCGGGGTGAGCGGGTGTTGGCAGGCAGAAGCAGAGGGAGCCCAGTTCTTGTGTGAAATGTTGCAGAGGTGTGACAGCACGTGTGTAAGACCAGCTGGCTCCAGCCTGTCCTCCACAACCCCTTGAGAGCCAGCTGAGGTCAGAGGCCCAGAGGTCTTTGTGATTTACATGTCACCAGGAGCATTGTTCGTGTCATATGATGATGGTCTGTCTCTAGGCTGCAGGCCGGGGAGTGTCCCGAATGCATGTCTATGTGTGGTATCAGCCCGCTCAGGCCACTGGACCCGATGAATGCCTATGGCCTCAAAGCTGGGGAGTCCCACCTCTCTGAACACTACTGTCCATCTCTTCTCTGGTTCCCTGTCCCTCTCTGCCCTGTTCTCAGTCCTAAGGCTTCTTAGCTGTCTGTGGAGGGAGTCACCTAGTGGTTACAGTGAAGGGCCTAGCCCAAGAATCCTCTTCTTTCCCTGGGTCCCTGGGTCCCACTTCCAAGACAACTCTGGAAGCCCAGGCAAAGGCAGAGCTATTAGAGAGACTTCTTAGGCAGCTCGCTCCTCCCCGGACAGGGGACCCTTGAGACATGCTGGCGTGTAATGGAAACCTATAGCAGCAGCACGGCCCATCCAGCCACTGTGGTTTACCAGGAGTCCTTGTGTTTATTTATTTATTTATTTTTTATTATACCTCCAAACCCCCAAGGCCCTTTAAGTAAAGAAAGCCACAGACCGGGTATCTGGGAGCTAGCATCCTTCAGCTTTCATCACTGATGAACAGGGGGAGGACTGGGTGGACTGATCATAGAGGTTCACATAGAGCGAGCGTCTCCGAGGTAAGCATAGATGGCCAGGCACACGGGAAATAGTCAGAAATGCGGTTGCTGCTGTGGCTCAATTTGCCTTTTGCTGGTATTTCTGCTGTGGCTCTGCGATACTGTCTTACCTCACAACCATCTCTGACCTTCATCCAGCCTGACTCTCCAGTGTGCTCTTGCCTGACTTTAGTCACCACTCAAGGAATGATCATCTGCCCTGGTTTGGTTGCTTACCGTTTCTCTTCATGTCCCCTTCCTTTCCCCCAGGACTCTCTCTTCCTAACCCATTCCTGTCCTTTATTCTTCATACCCACAGAAAAGCAGTTTCTTGGCAGTACCTTCCTGGTCCCCAGGCTCAGTCCCAGAGCCCCTCCCTTCAGAACAAATCTGGTTGGTGGTTGGATGTTCATGAGAAGGTTGCTCATTCAGGGTTATCACCTCCAGGCCATAAGCTTCCTCTACACACAACAGAGTGGGAGCTGTTATGACAAGGGGGGGTTTGAGGCCCAGAGAGGAGTGATTTGTCAAGGTCACAGGCGAGCAGCATGTCTGGGAACCCTCATCTCTGACTCCAAGCTCAGCAGGCACTTGGAGTCTCACCTTGGAGAGGGTTTGGACTCTGCCACCCTGGGGGCAGCTTCGGTAATCTGGAGGCTTGGCATTTGCTACTA